CGAGCAAGACCTTGAAAAAATGGAACAAAGATATTACATACAGTAAATCTTTGCTGAATGAGAGAACTGTTTCATCTCTCAGGTTGACAGCTGTTGCCTTAAAATTCTCAGTGAGATTTGATGCCTTCAGCTACAGTGTTAACTTAGCTTCAGAGATGTCACACTGTCACAGGCCACTGCAGGCCTCTACCATAACTGTTGGTATGAAGAGTTCTGTTCCTGAATGCCAGCCACTGACTCAACAGGCAAGTCACGTAGGCCTGGGACAGACTCCCAAATTAATATAGAAAATCAATTGGTTAATACTAAAGCCTTCACTGCAGCACATCAAAGTGGTCTCCAGCAGTACACTATTCTTGAAGAGTCACCAGAGGTATGGAACTGGACAGGATCTTTTGATTGAGACAACAGAAATGAGACTGCATCAAAAACTGCAAGCACATACACAGGCCAGGCTTGGGGAGGATCAGGAGAATTGGAGTGCTAGCTGAAAGGGGTCAACATCAACTGAGAGAAGAACCAATTGTTCACATAACAAAAAGAGTAGCAAGTTTTTATTGGTTTGCTGTAAATTTCCACTGACCAAGGGTACAGTTCCAAAAGACATTTCTTCTTGTGACTGTCAAAGGGTCACAGTTGACTTATCCTAAGTGTTGTTGATTTTTTGTGTCATTGGCAACATAATGCTATACAAAATATCACAGCTTTCTGGGTCTGGGACTGAAAGAATGCAGGTGCTTGGGCTACTGTAGTTGTTGAAGAAGCACAAGGGCAAGGAACAGAAAAAGAGCAGGGAGAGAGAGAGAGAACACATAACAGCTCCAGTGGGCAATCCTCATGTGTACAGGCAGAATTGATTGAATCTGGCATAAAGGTTAAAAAAGCAAAGTGGATAAGCATAACATGATGACAGAGATACTGTGCCTTTTGAAGAATTCCAGGCACCCATCAGATATCTACAGGCCCAAGTGGAGAGTCAAGGTTCTCAGCAAAAGCAGTCTTCAGATCCCTGAGAAGTAACCGAGGCAATTGTTCTCACAACCCACACCTCAGAGCTGTTATCCACTGCAAAGCTAGTGGGAAACTAATAAGGGATATCTTAGTCATTTTCTTGTCACTAGGACACAATACCTGATACCACCAAATTAAAGGAAAAGACATTTATTTTGGTTCGTGTTTACAGCTCCAAGGCAGGCAAAGAGCATATCAGAGAAGCTGCTCACATCACGGCAGCTGGAAACAGAAAGAGAAATCAGGACACAGGGAGCAAATTGCACCCTCCCAGGTCACACCTCCAAAGACCTGCCTCTTTTGACCCACTGAGTCAGCTGTCACACCCCACAACCCAGTCAGCTTCCAAAAGCCCCACCTCTGAGCACGTGTGGGTTTGCGGGGACATCTAGATATGAACTGTAACAATGCATTACCCCGCTATGTGGCTGCCAAAACTAGTAATCTTTAACTCAACAAAGGACAAACAAAGCTTAAATTTATGTTTCTCCTCAGTATCTAGTCTCTTAATTTGTATAAACAATCTGCTTCTGTGGTTTTATCAGTCTCATGACAGGTCAATTGAAGAGAGTACAAATGTGGAGTGACAACCTGCCAAGCTACAAAGGGTAACAGGTCACCGTGCCCAAGGGTTTATTTTGTTGTCCCAAACTTTGTCCCATCATGATGGCTTCCAACTGTCTCACTATGGCTCTCTAATCTCCACAACAAACTCCCTTGGCTCCCTGTCACCTTCTCTCTTCCTGAGTCTTTAGCTTTCCTCACCTGTTTGACAGGGCACAGTCAGCCCAACAAACCTGTCCTGAGGGACACTTCAAACTCTGTTAGGCCTCTGGTCTTGAGTCCCTAAGTCCCTCCTTAGCCCCACTCTCCCCTCCTACCTACAATCCCACTCATACAAGCTCTCTCCATCTAAGTGCATTTCTCATCCTCTTTCAGGCTCTTGTCCATCATCTTGCAGCAGTAGATCATACAGGCCAATTAGCAAGGGCACCCAGGCTCCAGAGAGCCAACTGCCTCTTCTCTGGAGGTTTCCTGCTGAGAAAGGTAAGGCATCTGGCCAACCGATCTCTCTGTGCTAACAAGCTTGACATAAGGCCAGCTGTGGTAGTGATAATTCCTGAGTAATGGACCCTTGGCACCTGCCCTGCTCTGCACACCAGCTGAAGCTCTTGCACATTCAGTGGAGCTCCTGGTGTTACACACATCCCCAGTCATCACATGGGTAAATTAGCTGCGGTTCCAAAAGTGAGAGGCTTTGGCCTAAGCCTCCAGACTTTCAGCCATCAGCCTTTTCCCACCATCTGCCACCTCTATTCAGAAGCTCGTAATGTTGCTATGCTGTCATGCCACACTGCATGGCAGACTGTAATTTAAGTTCTTTCATTTAATGCTCTTATGGTAGCCTTCTTCAGAAATAGTCTCCCAAAGCTTCCTCCCCTCTGGATACCTATTGTTCTTCATGGCAAAGATAGAGCCATTTTCCCTGCCTCTTAGATCTGAGCTGACCCTGGGGCTGCTTTGACAAGCTGAATAAAAAGTGGATGGACATTCTAGGGCTTCTGTGCCAAGATCTTAAATGGACTGTCAGGGCGTGGAGAAGAACCGGGGCTGCCAGCCAACAGTGCAGCTGAACTCTCACCTAGTGGCCAGCGTCACATGCCAGCCATATAAGTGAAGCCATTTTGACTCTTCTAGCCATCCCAGCCAATAAGAAACAAGAACAAAAAATTCACCCATCAATCCACACGACCTTGAAAAATGTGTTGCCTTAAGCCGTTATATTGTTACATCACAATAGCTAAGTGGAAGAGAGGTTGGTATCTGGTAGTGGATGCTGCTGTAACAAAATCGAAAGCCTGTGACATTTGTTTGGGACCAGGCATCAAACTGAGCCTGAATGTCTTCAGGAAGACAATTAATGAAAGTTGTACAGACATTGAGGAAAGAACCATTGGATGCTGAGAAAAGGCCTGGGGTATGGACTGCTCCTCGTGTCTATAGCTCTTATACAGGACTTATTTATTGTTTGTTTGTTTGTTTGTAGTACTGGGAATTAAACCCACGACCTTTCATATACAAACACAAGTGCTCTTCCACTGAGCAATATCCCCAGCCACTGCTCCTTTAATCTTGAGAGACTTTTTGTTCTTTATATTGGCTTTCTCTGTTCATCTCAAGATACCAATAAGCACATCCTGGACAACAGCTCTACTTAAGCTCCCAGCTGGTGACCAGCACCCAATCTAACCCTATGAGTGAGGCTACTTCAGACCTTCCAGCAACCCTCACACCATAAACATCATGCACAGGAGAGGAACTGCCTAGAGAGTCCACAGAATCATGAGAAGTGATCAATATTGTTTCAACTTTCTGGGGTGATTTGTTGTGTGGGATAATAACTCTCAAGGGAGTTGTGTGGGATAATAACTCTCAAGGGAGTTATTTCCAGGTTCTTCACATTCCAAATAAAGATTTCAGCAGGATACTCAAAAGGAATAACAAAACTAAGATTTTTTTTTTTTAAAGAAAAAGAAGCAGGGCCAGGGGTTTAGCTCAGCAGCTCAAGTACCTGCCTGGTAAGCGTGAGGTTGTGAGTTCAATCCCCCATTCCAAAAAGAAAGAAAGAAAGGAAGGAAGGAAGAGAGAAAGAGAGAGAGAGAGAGAGAGAGAGAGAGAGAGAGAGAGAGAGAGAAAGAAAGAAAGAAAGAAAGAAAGAAAGGAAGGAAGGAAGGAAGGAAGGAAGGAGAGAGGGAGGCAGGGAGGGAGAGAAAGAAAGGAAGAAAAAGAAGCAAAGTTACACATACTAGTGAGACTACCTTGGAGCTCCAGCAGCGACAAGTAGTATTGGGTCTTTTAAAGTCCTGGGGTTATGAGGGGATCTATAGCCGAGGAACTGGCAGGAATCATAGCCCAACAGGGTACCTGACTTGGTGCACCCATCAGGAGGAGGTGATTCTGATCATACAAGGTTGTTAGAGGAAGTGTAATAGCTCTCAGCGTCCATGGAGAAGAAACAAAACTGCAACGCAAATGAGGTCGGATGTAGGCCAGGGACGTGTACTTTTGGTGTTGTACACGCTTGGAGATCTTGGGGCAGTGGGGACAAGGTGCCCTTTATCTATTGGTGTCCTGATATTTTGCCATAGTCATCTTTGCTCTCTGGTTTCTCAGTTCTTTGCCCTGCTACTTCCTGTTGTTTACTTTTGCTCCCCCCACCCCCACTCTAATTCAGTAGGTCTCTGTAACGCTTTCCTACAGCCTGCTTACCTATGGAGAAGGCAAAGGCCAGCAAGGATGAGTGACTGCCCACAGTGGCAGAACTGCCAGGTGGCTGCACCAACATTTAAACTAAATTGGTATGAACAAACACCACCACTCAGGAAACAGGAGCTCAGAGGGTAGGAGCAACTGCCTCAAGCCACCCGTGTAGGAGGTGGCAGTCAGGATGCTGAGTTAGCAGCCCAGTTCTCCTGCCTCTCAGCCTGGCACTGTTCTTCCCCATACAGCCACTCTTTCCATCCTTTCTTCTATTTCTGCCCCCACACAGTCTCATATGGCAACTCTACTCCAGGAATGCCACTGGAAGGAGGAGAGGCAAAATCCATAGGGGACACCTGGCCTCATCTAGAGACATCGTTGGTTGTCACAGTAAGGTACAGTGAGTGCTGCTAGCATCTAATGGCTAGAAGACAGCAATACTAAAAAATACACAGGCCAGCTAAAGACATTATCCAGCCCATAATCCCATAGAGCTGCCACTCAGACTTCCTGGTTAGAGAAACTCAAGGTTCACAGGACTCCCAACCCAAGAGTCAGTTGTCATTTTCTACAAGGATTAGATGGCTCCAGACCAGCTGGGCAGCACTCAGGTGGGCATTCCCACCTACTAAAAATGTCTAAGGGGGTGGCCAGGTCCCAAGGAGCCATCTGGCAGGGGTACCCGTCACAGCAGGGCCAGGGCATTTTCTAGACTCTGAGGAGGCAGGTTTGATTTGCTGCAATGACTTTATTGGAAACAAGGAGTGAGACAAAGACAAACATGCAGGCAGCTGAGTCATTGGCTTTTTAGAAGCTTCTATAGGCAGCCCTGGAAGGAAGGTGCCCTCCCTACGTGGGACAGATCCCTCCCAAGTTACAGAAAACTAGCAGCAGTTCAGGTTCCCCATCTCCCTTCCCAGACAGAAGCAAATGATCAGACTCCCCAAAGTGCTAGCAGGCAGATGTTGCGGGCCTGCCTCATGTCTTCAGGTTTGGGGGAACGGGTCAGGCAGAACCAATGAATCCAGCAAAACATAGGCAGAAGAAAAAGATGGCTCCTCAGAAGAATAAACCATTAGAAAAGGCTAAAGAAAGAGACCCAGGCACACTCCTGCCCATGCTTGGCACTCAGGAGAGCGGGCAAAAGGGCTTGCAGGTATGCTCATTGGGGGACTGTGTGGAGGAGACTGTTGGTAGCAGTGTGAGGTCCTGGCTGGGTGGAGGGTGATAGTGGGGACGGGGAGGTGTTGCTAGCAGCAGTTGCAGCCTCTTAGCACTGCTTACAGCCACTACTGTAGGCACTGACCCCAGCGCAGGGGGCACAGGCATTGGGGGTGCCAACTACCACGTTGCCGCTGCAGGGGGCACTGCAGACTCTGGTGTTGACAGCAGGAGAAGTACCGGTGGCACAGAGATCGCCACAGACGATGCCACCTCGGGAGCTGCTGACACCTGAACATGGAATGAACAGGCAGCAGCGATCAGGCATGGCCATGGCCAGGCAGTCTCTTAGCAAAAACAAATGTCCCCTCCTCAAAGGGCCTTAGGCCACCCCACCCCCACCCCAGGGAGACAGCTGGGACTACTTACACACATTGACGGAGCCAATGCCCTCACACAGCCTGTGGGAGAGGAAAGGGGACAAATCAGTGCCACAGGAAAGCCACAGGGACCAGTAGCCAGATGCAAGGTAAGAACTATGTTATTTCTTTGGGGAACTTGCTAAGAGGGAGGCACAAGAAAGCCAAGACCAAGGCACTGTAGGGGTTCTGGAGACTGCCTGGGAACACTCTGCTCTCTGCACCCGGAAAATCTGCTCCGATATTCACAGCACACTGAGAACACTTAAGAACTGTGAGCTGCCGCAGTTTCTGTATTGGTTCCAACTGAATTACAAGTGCATTTGAGGGAAGCAGAGGAAAACCTAAATCTACCTTGATTGCTGTCACTGGAATGTAGGCCTAAAGGAGGGCAGGTTTTACATGCCCTCCCCACTCCCTAAAAACAACACCTGAAGCGGTAAATAACTGGTGGAGGAATGAATGCGATTTTGGAACCCATCTAAAATAGACTGAGACTATTACAATTCTGTCATTTCACAAGTGGAAAAATCAAGGCCCAGAGAGGAAATGACTGGACTCCTGACTCCGCAGAGTCTGCATTTCCTCCAACACAGTATCCTCTCCCCAGTGGAAGCAAGCAGAGTTACTCCAAACACACAGTGGTGAAGGGCTGGCCAAACAGGCCTCAAATAAAAGAAGACTTTGCAGCCACTATCAAAAAAACCATCTCTTGGGGCTGGGGATTTAGTTCAGCGACATAAGCACCTGCCTTGCAAGCAGGCGGTCGTGAGTTCGATCCCCGGTACCGATAAAAATGAAAAAGACAAAAAAAAAAAAAACCATCTCTTACCCAGGTTTCCTAGGTAACTACATCAAAGCGTCTGCCTTTATTGCAAGAGTGTAATGCAGTGGATTGATGAGAAACACAATTTCCAGTGCTATTTCCATGGGTCTCTCCAATTTCTAAACCCAGACTCGATTGCTACTATATTAGGGAATTTGTCCCTAATGAAGCCTCCTATGTCCCTTTACACATGACCTCTGAGTTTTCCAACACAGTTCCTTGAGGTTGTTTTTGGAGTCTCACCATGTTATCACTTAGACATCCAGGTACCAAACCTGTGTTCCTCATCTCCCCGGTACACAGGATGCTCCCTCAGCATCCTACCCTCTACCATTCTGTGCCAAGGCCTGGGGCCTGGTGACAAGAGGACAAGTCCAGGCATGATCAACTGACCAACTAGGGAAAACAAACCCAGTATAAACAACAAGTCCTCATTCTGGAGAGCTGTCTTCGATGCTCTGGAGTTGTATAACTGCCCTCCAACCATCAGAAGGCTGAATGATCCTCATTCTGAAGCAAGTAAACAAGTAAAATCCCTGAGAGCTAGGTATACCTGCTGCAAGGGACAGTCTCTGCACTCTGTCTACCTCAGTCCCACAACTGCAGTGAAGCCACTTTGGGACACTTATTGAAGTTACAACAGATGAGTGGTAGTGGCTGGAATCTCCTATCTGAGGAGGTGATTATGAGTTACATCTGAATTCCAGGGATGGGCACAGGACTGGACTAGAGGAGGAGAGCTGGAATCCTGAGGGGCACATGGAATCAGGGCTGGGAGAGAAAATGTACTATGCAAGGAAGGTGGCTTCAGGAATGAGGTAGGCTTTTTAGGAACAGAAATCACTTGTTTTTGACACAAGGCAAGTCCCATTTACAGCAAGCAGGTGCCTACTCCACATCATGAGTAAGCAAAAGAAATTCAGATAGGACTAGAAGGACATACTCAAAGGACTTACACAAATTTCCTGTACAGTTGTAGGATGGTGAGGAATGGAAACAGACATTGGCGTGTGTCATAAGAAGGAGGAACAGGCACTCTGAAAACCCAGGCAGAGCTAGGAAATTTTTTTTAAAAAAGAAACAACTGCAAAACCCACCTCTGCTCCTCGCCCTCCAGCAGACGCCTGTAGGTGGCGATCTCGATGTCCAGGCCCAGCTTGGAGTTCATCACCTCCTGGTACTCCTTGAGCAGGCAGGCCATGTCCTGCTTGGCCTTCTGCAGGGCCTCCTCCAGCCCGGCCAGCTTGCACTTGGCATCGTTGAGGGTCGCCTCGCCCTGCTGCTCAGACTCGGTCACTGCAGTCTCCAGCTTGGTATTCTGGGAGCCCAAGAGAGAACGAGGTGGGTTATGCTCCATGCATTTCCAAGTTCATTACCAGGGTATTTCCAGTCACTGCCTCTCAATTAGAAATATCCCAAAAATAAAACTTCCCCAGGTGACCACAGACAGATCTATATCTATACAAGTAGAATGGAGACTAAGTGGTGGGTCACGTGACAGGGGTCACGTTGGCTCTGTGACACTGCAAGGATGCCCAGACCCTCTGATTTGGACACAGCTGAGCCATACCTGGCACTTGGCATTCTCAATCTCAGCTGTCAGCCTCTGGATGATGCGGTTCAGCTCATTGATCTCTTCCCTGGTGCGGCGCAGGGTCTCCCCATGCCGGATCACTGTGGCCTTGATCTCCTCACACTAGGGAAGCAAAGGTGCTCATGAGGCTCAGGAAGACACAATTCACTCATTCAGGACAGCACTAAAAATTATTTAGATTCTACAGTGCTCAGCCTATATAACCACACAGGGCAATCCTGTCCTGTCACGCCAACCAGAGTCATCGACTTTCCACCATCCCTAGAGGTCACAATCCTCATACAAAGCAAACCTTTCCTATTAGACATGTTACATCCCTCCCTGTCCTGTTAGGAGGCTGGTGTCCTGAGACACTGACCCTGGTGCGGTACCAGGACTCGGCCTCTGCCCGGCTGCGGGTAGCAATGTCATCATACTGAGCCTTGATCTCAGCCACAACGCAGTCCATGTTCAGGTCCCGGCTGTTGTCCATCTTGACGATGACTGAGGTGTCTGAGATGTGAGCCTGGAGAACTCGGATCTCCTGCAGGAGGAGGTGGAGAAGAAGGACAGTGTAGTTATATGGGCTCTTCCTCACCCTCCAATGCCTATATATAATCCCTTGGCTGCTCTGAAGCCCACCTCCCAGGTTTGGAGCTGAAATCCTGAATGAAATTATATAATTTTCTATATAAATAAATCCTCAACAATACCCACTTTTTAGGTGCTTGTTTCTGGAATTATTCAGATACATGTGAGCCCAGGCTTCATCCCAAATTTCCCCAGGGAATAGACTGAGTGTTGAGACCTGTGAGTGTTTCCTAGACCAGCTCATCAATATTGGCTGCCAGAGAAAACCCTGGGCCCTAGGCATAGGCCAAGTTTGTCTGGTGCTTTTGAGGCCTCTGCTGCATCCCACTGGCTCAGGGAAGGATACAGGATGATTTCTCAGTCACAGCCGTCCTGAAAGTCTCACCCTTTTGCCCCACTGCACTGGTTTAGTTTGGGGTCTGCATTCTTCTTCCTGTTCCTTCTCTCTGCTTGCTCCTCAGGCTCCTGCCTATGGGTTTTGGGCCAGGTGGGGGACCCTATGAGAGCCACACATGTGGCCACACCCATGGCTGTGAGCCCCTCACCTCCTCATACAGTCGCCTCAGGAAGTCGATCTCCTGCGTCAGCGCCTCCACGTTGGCTTCCAGGTCTGATCTGCGCAGGTAGGCACAGTCCACATCCTAGGAAGATGGGGATGTTTAAGCCCAGAGATCTTGCAGACTGTGCCACAGACTGCTCTCTTTTCTTATTCAGTCCATGCAAGTTGGGAGAGGGGGTGGGCAGGCAGTGTTTCTATACTAATCCACTTCTCCCTTCTCATCTTTCCATTGCCCAGGATGCTGCCGGCAACCTTCCCAATGTGAGAGCAAACCCTGAAGGCTGTGGACAAGGCTCATCCACCTTTCATCCCTCCCATCACTGATTCTGTCCATGTTCTGCTGCGAGAAGCCTGCCCAGATCACACTCAGCTCTGCTACCTGACCCTGCCACCCATAGTAGTTATCCAGGAGGCTGCCTGGTCACTCCTGCTTCTGTCCATCCCTGAACCTGGAAGTGGCTCCTTGTTTCCTAGTCATATTTACAGAATGCTATATAGACCACAATGTCCCTCAGAAATCTGAAGCTCCATAGTGTCATGGGTCCCCAGCCATCCCCCTGATCAAGGAGGTATCCAAGTCATTGCCTTTTGTCTAAGTCCTGGACACAACATTTAAAGTCCTGCTTGTTTGGAAACTTCCCATTCTGATATGGAAAAGTCAGCACAGCCCACACTGAGACTGAGCTCCCTAGTTTCCCTAAGATGAGTCTGTCCTGAAATCCTTGTGTTTCTGCTTCCCATTTCCATGCTACTTGCCTTCTTCAGAGCCACAAACTCATTCTCAGCTGTGGCTCTCAGAGAAACTTCCTCCTCGTACCTAGGTAGAAGAGAATTGGGGGTCAAGGCAAGGCAGGGCTTTGTTCTCTGGCCTCCCACTTCATACCACTGAGGAGACAGAACTCGATGCACAGCCAGGCCCAGCAGCCCTGCCAAGTCCTTTCCCTTTTGCGTCCGAGGTTCTCCCTCCAATTTTGAGTTGAAAATGCAATGGGCTCATCTGGGACTTTCCAGTGCCCTTGCCAGCAACACTCTAGCAACACTCTAAAGCCACCCGTGGAGGCCAATAAGTATAAACCATGCAACTCTGCCAGCCTGATACTTTTGAAGGTTCTTAGCATCTGTGCTCTGGGTAACCCAAGCATCCTCAGTGCCTCAGTACCTCACAGGGCCATACTCACTTCTTCTTATAGCCCTCCAGCACCTCCTGCACATGGTTGAGCTCTGCAGCCAGTCTCCCGCCATCGGCCTCCACACACTCGGCCTCCCGCCTCAGCGTCTGCACGTAGCCCTCAAACAGCGGCTCCAGGTTGCTCTGGCAGCACTCACGGTTCTGGTAGAACTGCAGCTTGGTCTCCAGCAGCTTGTTCTGCTGCTCCAGGAAGCGCACCTGCTCATAGCAGAGGAAAGGACAGGTCAAGGAGGGCCTGCTGCCTCAAGGCCAGCTCTGGCAGTCACTGTGGGAAAGGAACTCCAGCCCTGGAGCTCAGTGGGCAGGAAGCAGAGGCAGCTGCTGGGCTCCAGGCAACTTCTAGTTGTGCTGCTCTCAGGTGAGCTGAGTTGCTCAAGCAGGCAGGGCCAAGTGGTATGTGTCAAGTGGCAGTGGTCAGGTGCCACCCAGAGTTCAGACCCCTTCCCTGAAGCCAGTGAGGTAGGAGCCCCTCAGGCTGTGTACCCAGATTCAGATCATAGACCAGAGTGTGGGGACAGAAGCCAGGTAGAGGAGGTCACAGGTCATCTGTGAATAGCTCAGCTCCCCTGACCCTTCCCCTGCTTACACTGAGGGTCAGGCACCCCTACCCTTCACAGGGAACACAACTCTCAGCCAGGGGGTTGCCTGGTTTCCCTGGTTCCAGCAGCAGCCACTGCATTGCTCTGGGACTTCCTGCCCTCCAGCCTGTGTCCTACCCAGACCAGCAGAGCTTGTGGGGGGGAAAGGTACAAGCTCTGCCCCTCTGACCTGACTGGTGTATTTTCCAGGTTCACAGTATCTGAGCAAGTGTACGTGTGCCTCTCCCCTCCGAATGTAGTCTCACCGAGGCAGAGCTCTTTCTAACTCCCTCCTCAGTGCCCAAGCTTGGAGGTGCACATGAGTGAGGGAGGGTTCAGGAAGGGTGCGATCCAGGACACCCACCTTGTCGATGAAGGCAGCGAACCTGCTGTTGAGGCACTTGATCTGCTCCTTCTCCTCGTGCTTCACGCACTGCGCATTGGGGTCGATCTCCAGGTTGAGGGGTGTGAGGAGGCTCTCGTTGACCGACACGCTGGTGATGCAGGGCGGGCTGGGGCCGCACACCCCTCCAGAGCGGTATCCGAAGCTGCGTCCATAGGCGCCTGTGTGGAAGGCCCCGCAGACGCTGCGGCTTCCGAAGCCTCCTGTGAGGCCGCGGTAGCAGGAGATGCCGCGGTAGGGGGCGGCGGTGATGCAGCAGCGGCCTGGCCGAGGCCCGCAGGCAGAGGCGCAGCTGAAGGCTCGGCCACCACAGTAGGATCCACAAGTCATGATGCTTTTAGTGGGGACAAGAGACTCTGCTTGGAGACGTCCTAATGGAGGGTACAGTGGACGTGTTTCCATCGCCAGCATCTATGGGCCTTTTATATACATGGTGAGCCACGTGGTGAGAAGCAATTAGAAGCCTTTATGAGCTTGGCTTTTCAAGCTGCTGTAGCTCCTCTCTAAATGTATTTAATTGGTGTCTAGCTGAGGCCCCTGTTTGTGGCCTTTGCCCAAAACTGCACAATTTTCTTCTTCAAAGGGCCAGCTCACCTCCCCCACACTTATCTCACCTCCTAATACACAAAACCCTAGTTGCTGGGAGACACTGTGGGCAGTGACTCAGGTTGGAAAGGGTGGGGCCGGTGCTAGCTCAGGGTCTGAAGGTTTGGGGAGGTTGATGTTGCTGTCCCTGGTGCTGAATTGTCTGACCCGGAAGGTTGGATCGGTATGAGACCTGGTGATATAGAACTTGGGTTGTGATTATTGGTTTCTTTTACCCTGTTCACTTTCTACAACCCAGTCAACCCCACCAACACACCAACCCAACACTTCCACACCCACTCTCAAACTGCTGTGAACTCTTTCTCCCTCTCTCCCTCTCTCCCTCTCTCCCTCTCTCTCTCTCTCTCTCTCTCCCTCTCTGTCTCCCTCTCTCTCTCTCTCCCTCTCTCCCTCTCTCCCTCTCTCCCTCTCTCTCTCTCTCTCTCTCTCTCTCTCTCTCTCTCTCTGTATGTATGTTTCTCCCATACCTTGCATCCCTCCCCCATCTCCATCCCCCCTTCTCCACTCACAGGCTGCTCTTCCTGCAGTTGTACATGTGATTGCTCACAGATGCCCATCTGTGCCTCACCAACCTCACTAGCACCCAGTTCAGGCCACCTTGGCCAGCCTATTCCAAGAGTTGTCAGTCTTTCCCTCAGGATCTTCCACAAGGCAGGGGCAGAGTGTGCACAGTGGCTTGCCAGACCCAAGAAAGTCCAACAATTATATCCAACAAGGCCTCAGCAAGGATCAAATGTCTGCCTTTCACCTCAGGCTTCTGTGTTTCCTCCAAGGCCTGGCGCGTACACCAGTTATGAATCCATATAATGTTTTCCTCAGAATATGAAGTTTGATAGAGGCACATGAGAGCTGCTGCTACTCTCAGTCCCCAGTGCTTTCTATGATACACACCCTGAAGTCCCTCTCCCTGCACAAAAGTTGGTCAGTCTCCTTGCCAGGTGTCAGAACAGATCCATATTGATGTGTGCTATCCAATGTGGGCCTCACAAGGGCTGGGTATGGACCAAGACACCACCCGACTGAGCTCTGGTGACCTGGTGGTAAGGTGCTTCCCTCTACTGGGAAATGGGTTAAGACTTTGCCTCCCATTGCTGCCTCAGAAATTACAGAGGTGTCTGCACAATGAGTAAATTCCAGAACATAGAACTTACAGTGGAGGTGGCTTTATCATAATCTAAGTTAGCCCTGGGGCAAGGTCTCTTCAGAGTTCGTATTGCAGCCCATTAATGAAAGTGGCCAGAATTTCATTTTGCTAAAACAAATCAGAAAAAAATCAAATGGAGTAGAATAAAAAATATCATCCCATTGTTTTATGTGCATAATTATTGTTACATAGCCCTTTGTATATGATATGTATGGATAGATGTGCACACACATTCACTGTGTAAAATTCTTACTGCACTGATAAGTAACAAATGGAAATTATGGCACAGTATTTGAGAATATATAAGGCCAGATTTCAAGCTACCTATTTTCAAATTCCAGTGCACTACCACTCTTCAGTTGTGTAACAAAGCAATTACTTAGCCATTCATGATTTGTAAAATGGGGACAATAATATACCCAACCTCATTAAATTGTCATAAGGATTTAAAAAATTAGTCCATGTAAAGCACTTGGAATTGAGCCTGTCATACTCTAAGTGTTTAATCATATTTGTTTTGTTTTTGTTGCTGCTGCTGTTGCTGCGGCTATAATGACCGGATTGATGTAATATATCTACATGTTTCTAAATCACTTACGTTCAGTTACTATAAATGGTACCTATCATGCAGGATTAGTAGGGAATGAAATAAAATGATGCATGGGCAATATTTAAACAGCACCTGGCACAAAGAAAGTGCCCAATAAATATTTTCTACTTGTATTCTATCATGTGGCCCTGTCAAGGGGAAGGATGGACTGAGGCCTTTCTCCAGATTATTCTCTTTGTCTGGAAAATTCAAATGCCCTTTCTTTAACTCCCACTCCAGTTTGACTGCCCCAAGGATAGTCCCCTGAGAATCTCTCATCTTAGGCAAAGAAAAACTGTCACAGGCCCTTGAGCAATCTCACTAGTAGAAAAGAAAACCTTTGGATAATCTGAAAAGCCACTAATTCATGACTAATTCATAAATTTGTATTTATTATTTAACCTTAACAGACCATCAGAAACCCTTAGTCATGAATCAAACAGAATCATGCTTACTCATCTTGCTTTTTGCTTGGTTGATACCATGGAGATAGAATACCATGGAGCTGAGGGTGGGAGACGTGCCCTTGTAATCAACCTTACTATACTGAAATTCAAAGGGAGAGCAAGAGGACACTGCAACTGGATAAACAGAAGTTGAAATTAAGGGAGAACTTCCTGGAGGGAGTGCAGATAGCCATGTTCCTAAAATCATGCCAGTTTGGCGTTTTCATTAGAAAAGCTTCGTGGCAAAGAAAACAATCCCTCTGGACTGGCCACCTTGTTGGTGGAGACAGACTAAATGAGAAAAACCTTCTGTTCTGGACCTTGGTCTAAGTAGACCTTGTTTCAAAGTATGCCTGAAAAAATAAGCAAACTGGATAGTTTAACATTAGGAAGTCTTTGTTCAAAGCAGCCGTGAACTCATCCTACTTCTGTAGAAAGTTCTGTGAGGCACATTCCCCAGGATGCATGCATGATCACTAAAAGCAGATATCATCTTCCAGGAGAGGCAATCAGGGATTATGTGGCCCACAGACCCGAGTTGTATGCTGAATGCCATCTTAATTTGGGAGCATGAGTGGTATGGCATGGAGATACGGATCAGAGCTCCCAGTGCAGCAGGGAAGACCCATATTCTTGAGGAAAGCCAGAAATTTGGAGAGGGCTGCTTTTTGGATGTACCACTAAATACTGCTAGAGTCCTTTCTGGGACAATGACTCCAGCTGGGCTAGGAAAAGGGTAAGGAAGACTCCTTGTAAAGGTTGATGATGGACTTTAGTAAGGAGGCAAGCAGAGCAGTGTCAGTGAAATGGTGTGAAGGAGATGCTTCAGAGAGCAGAATAGGGTGAGACAAGGCCAGGGGGTGGAGAGAAGAGGAGCCCAAGAGCCCTTGTGGGAATGGAAGAGATCATGAGACACTTTGACAGTGAAGAAAGAGGAATTAAGCTATTTGAGGCAGAGAAAACAGGGCCAGTCTCCTCCCTGAGGCCTGAGACTACTTGAGACTCAACGGTATGAGGCAGCTCATGGGCTCCACATCTGTATGCTAGGCTTGTGGGTGTCCAAGGGGCTGAGGCCTTTCTAAACTTACAGCTTCTGCTTTCTGTAGCAGAAGCTGCTGACCAGGTTCCAGGGAGGTTCCAGGGAAGGAAGCAGAGGGGTAATGGAGTGGCTTGTGAGCTATTGATGACCTCAAATCCAGTCACTAGTTGGTGGAGTGGTTGAGTTGGTGAGCTGAGAGGCCCTATCAGAGCCCCGCATCTTCAGCCAAGACAACTGGGACACTACCAGAAGGCAGTTCCATTGGGCAAAGGGACCAAAGGCTCTCATGGGGAGTGCAGATGTAACTGGAACCTGACTCAGGAGCTCTGCCTGAGGAGGCCCATCCTGTCAATCAGGCTGAGCCCCTTGCCTCTCCCTGTTTTAGTCCCTACCCTGAGAGATTTTATTAATATAAATCTAGAGCTGAGGTCACTCATCTCCTTAGGTAAGCCTACACCTTGCTCTTGGTGTTGTATTCTTTCACCACCAACCTCTTCCTCCCCAGTTTTTCCAACCCTAGAGTGCCCACACAATCCCCCTTGTCTTCCTCAGGTTTTCCTCTACTGTCTTCTGCTTCTATCCTCTTCCAACTGTCTCCCCAGATCTCCTCTCCCTTTCATTCTCCCCAGGTATTCACCTATCCAGCCTCCTCCTCTTTTTCCAAGTGGCACCTCAGAGTTACAATCTAAACAAAACCAAGCATCTCCTTCTCTCTCTTTCTCCAGAAAGTCTTTCTCATCCCTCCCTCCCCAATCCAATCCATATATCCCATCTCAATTCTACCCCAAGCCCTTCAGGATCCTTGTCGTCATTGGTTGGCTCATGTGGTCAAGGACACATTCATCCCTCCTTTGGCCCTCAGTAAGGAACATCTTTCTTCTCAGCCCCACCTCCAGGACAGGCTGCTTCATTTGGTCTCCACCCCATACTACCACAAAGCTTTGAACAATTAGCCACCAAGCTTTGTTGGCCTCATTATTCAGCATTTAATATGTAGATGGTACTCACTTTATTCATTTAAAAAATATTTACTGAGTACCTACTATGTGCCAAGCCCTTGAATTATATCCATAAATAAAATATGTGTACACATTAATACATTGCATGGTTAGCATTTTGGTTCATGATCTGAATAGATACCTAGTTTTCCTCTACCAAGAAAAAGCATAAAGTCTCCAACTTTTGCCTCAAATTCTGAGACCACCTTACAGGACCTTGAAGAGGGCAGAGAGAGAGATGAGTGTGTGTGTGTGTGTGTGTGTGTGTGTGTGTCTGTCTGTCTGTCTGTCTGTCTGTGTCTGTGTGTGTGTCTGTGTGTGTCTGTGTGTGTGTATACAAACACTGTTTACCATGTGCTACTTTAATTGAAACCATATGGTGGATGGATGGGAGCACAAGGCATCCAACTCATCCTTTCCTTTGCAACCAAGCACACTTGGCTCTGAGTACCAAATATCTCTAACTCACGCCTGAGCAAGTCTCTTAACTTCCCTAGGCCTGTGTGTAAAAACATCAGCCTCAAAGGTAATTGTACAAATTACATGAGTTAAAACATGGGAGAATCTCAGGATGGTATCACATATGGAGTAAGATGAACATCAAGAGGTATGAAGTTGGAATATTTATGAAATAGTTTCCTACACTAAAAATATACTTCTTGCATAACTTCAAGAAACAAGAATACACCCTAGAAAAACCCTTTCGCAGATGAAAGAAAAGATATGGAAAAGAACATCCACAGAAGCTCTGTTCATAATCTTGAACTCCAGAAATACCCCTGAGCTTGTCAGAATAGAAAGGTGAAAATGACATAGAACAACTATGGAAAGTAAACTTGGACAAAAGAAACCAAAAAAGAAAAGAAAAGAAAAAGTACAATATGCTTCCATTTGCTTATAGGAAGCTCAAAAACTGGAAAACTGTTGGGCACAGTGGCACATACATGAGATCTCATCCAGCTATTTGGGAGAGTAAGGCAGGAGGATCACAAGTTCAAGGCCAGCCCGAGCAACTTAGTGATATCAATCTCAAAAGAAAAGGGCTAGGAATGAAGTTCAATTAGTAGGAAGTTCCTGAGTTTGATCCCTAGTACTGCAAAAAAAATTTTAAATAAAATAAACAATGGAGTACCAAACAATATATCATTGATGAATATTATATATACTAGTTCTAAAACCATAAAGAAAAACAAAGGATAATTAAACACAAAAATCCAGAAAAGGGGATCACCCCAGGTCAGGAAAGAACAATCAAAATGAGGTACAATACACAATACATACTCCTTAAAAATATGCATGTTCTATTTCCTTCTCCAGGGGATAGATGCACCACCTATACATTCTTCTGTAGGTTGACATATTTTGGTAAAATAATTTTACCATAAAGTTGAAAGTATTAACTTTACACTGCCAGAGCCAAGGCCATAGAGTGGTGGTTCCTTCAACACAACATTTTCACTGAAAAAAAACAGGTTTAATATTCTTTTAGATTTCCAGACATTAGCAGCAAGTAATAATTCCTGGAGTTCACATTTGAATTTCTTTATGTCTTGTTTCAAATTGTTGCTTGCATTTTAAAAGTTGCTTAGCAAGGGCCAACCCTTAATAATTAGCTTGAGTTAGTGCATTGCGATTTTATAAGGACTTCCGCTGGCAGAAAAGGTAAAGTGTGTGTGAGATTCACCTTGACTCAGTGCTCCTGGGGACACCCTGACTGCTGCTTGGCTGGGGACACTGCTGCTCAATTATGGGCAGTGTCCAGGATCGCAGATGAAGGTACAAAGAGCTTCAAAGGTCATGCCCAGCTGCGTGAAACACATAAAGTGACAGCAGATGCCATAGCCTCCTCTGGGACAAGCAGGTGCTGACAGTCTGTGACTCTATGACTGTACTGTCGCAAGGTCCCACTGTGAATGTTTCCACAGACACACTGAGCCCTGCCGTCTAGTTTCCTCCTCCTTGCTCTTCTCCCCTCCCCAACCCTTGCCCTCCCGAGGGCTACTGTGTACCCTCCACCAGGTGCTGTAAGCCCCGGCATTTTACTGCTCTTTTCTCTTGTTTTTGATTAGTTGGTTGTTTTGGGGTTCTCCTGGCATGTTTTCTTTGGTTTGGTTTGCAACACTGGAGGATCGAACCCAGAGGCACTCTGCCTCTGAGCTACGTCGCCAGCCCTTTTTACTTTTTTGAAAAAGGGTCTCACTAAATTTCCCAGGCTGGTCTCAAACTTTCAATTCTCCTTCCTCAGCCTCCTGAGGATTACATGTTTTGCACCCAGCCTTCCTCTTCAATTTAGTGCAAACTTCAGTACTTATGAACCAGTTTTCCTAGGACCTGTTCTACTGGGGTAGAGGTAGGGGTGTTTCATGAGCTAGCAGGACATAGTATAGCTATGAAAGTAGTTACAGTGTACCAGAAGCATATAAGTAGCTAAGCTTGATGACTTCTATCTCCTTCCTTGTTCCACACAACTATCCCCAGAACAGCCCAAAACAGCCTCCCATTGCCCATACCCACACATACCTCATGGGCCCCTTCAGTTCTAACCACCCCGGGCCTCTCGGACTCTGCCCATCTATCCTAAATCCACAAATATCCCCACCTAAACAATTTCTTCTACCCTTTTAAACTTTTCCAGGGATTAAGAAATACAAGAGTTGTCAAAGCTCATAGGTGAGAAAGCAGCACATTTCCTGGCTCCACTGCTTACCACATGGGAGACTTTCAGCAAGTTATTTAACTTCTGAGGGTTTCGATTTTCTTACCTGTAAAATGGGGATAAGAGTACATATTTCATAAAATTAACTTTAAAATAACCATACAATGATGATCATATACTAGGTAACCAATAACAAAGAAATATCCTCTTATCAAAACAAGTTGTATGTTTCCCTATAGAGCTCTAATTATAAAGAGAAAAACATACTCCAGTAATCCAATTTAGCATCACCAACCTGATATTTTGCACTTTCTAGATGGATGCAATAAAAGTTATATACCATCTCTTATGAAGTATTCTGCCCAAAATTTGTAACTTGAAACTAGTCAGGGCCTTAGCCCAGAGCTATCCAAAAGAAATTTATGAGCTGGAAATGCTTTTTATCTGTACCTTCCAATAAAGTAGGCACAAATCACATGTACCAATTGAGGATTTATATGTGGGGAGTGCAACTGAGGAAATAGATATTTTATTTATTTATTTTTAAATAGCCACACATACCTTTTGCCTACCACAATGTACAGCTCAGTTTTATACCTAACTTTCCAGTTTATAGAAAATACAAAGGAGAGAAACACAGGCTAAATCTCATATAATCCATTATTTTAAACCTAGGACAATTGGAATCTTGAATACGGAATGGTTGAGTGGTTCTTCGTAGTTAATGTTAACTTTCTTGTATGTAAAAGTTGTACTATCATTATTCTCCAGAAATGTGGGCTGGGACCAGGGGTTTTAGTTCAGTGGCACAAGTGTCTACCTGGGAAGCACGAGGTCATGACTTTGATCCCCAATACCAGAAAAAAAGAATGTGTGCTGAAGGGGCTGGGGTGTGGCATGTAGCTCAGTGGCAGAACATCTCCCTTCACAAGGTCCAGGTTTCAGATACGAAAAAAGAAAAAAAAATTCAGAAATGTGTGCTAAAGTGTTTAAGGATCACATGCCATGCTCGCTGAAACTACCAAATGCCTGGGCAAATATGATCTAGTTATAACAGCTGTTGAATTTAGAGAGAACGTCTATTGGCCTTTGTTGTAGTATTTCAACTCCTCTCTGTTTGAGATTCTCCTAATGAAAGCTGAAGAAAACGTAAAAGACAAATATCTAACAACCTGCTTATAGCTCTCCTGGTAGGAAACCCCAATGGTTTTCAACACCCCACTGAAGAATCTGTGGTTGGGGAAATTCAGGTTTGTATTTAGCAGCATTTCAGTCACTATGCAGTGGAAACGTCCAGATGTGATTTGTTAACACTCCAGTCTTCCTTGGAAGACACACACACACACCTCACACTCAAAGCACAGGCCCCTTCCCCTGGCGGCCCCTTCACTCCTCTCCTCCCTGCACTCCCTCCCTCATGCCCACGGAGGGCGCATGCCCCGCCAGCAGGCACTTTGAAGATTAAAAGTGCTGAGTCCCCCGAGGGCGACTGGGCTGGCCTGCTGTACAAAGAGGTGGGTGCGGACCACTCCACCATTAAAGCACAGTCAGGAGTTGCTTTGCACAGATCTAACCACGGAAGCCCATAAAGCTCAATTGCCCCAACCCGTCCTCAGAACCAAACCCCTTGACAGTCCAGCATAAATAGGACTGAAGCGCACTAAGGAACACATTGGAGTTTTGGCCAGGACTCCGGATCTCCCATTGTACCCCCAGCAGCTCACGCCTTCACAAGCACCATGACCTGTGGATCTGGATTTGGAAGCCGCGTGTTCAGCTGCGCCTCCGCCTGCGGGCCTCGGCCAGGCCGCTGCTGCATCACCGCCGCCCCCTACCGCGGCATCTCCTGCTACCGCGGCCTCACAGGAGGCTTCGGAAGCCGCAGCGTCTGCGGGGCCTTCCACACAGGCGCCTATGGACGCAGCTTCGGATACCGCTCTGGAGGGGTGTGCGGCCCCAGCCCGCCCTGCATCACCAGCGTGTCGGTCAATGAGAGCCTCCTCACACCCCTCAACCTGGAGATCGACCCCAATGCGCAGTGCGTGAAGCACGAGGAGAAGGAGCAGATCAAGTGCCTCAACAGCAGGTTCGCTGCCTTCATCGACAAGGTGGGTGTCCTGGATCGCACCCTTCATGTGCATCTCCAGGCTTGAGCACTTAAGAAGGGAGTTAGAAATAGAAAGAGCTCTGCCTCGGTGAGACCACACTCGGAGGGAAAAGGCACACGCACACTTGCTCGGGTATTACAGACCCAGAAATACTCCGCAGTAAGGTCAGAGCTTGTGGGGAAAGGGGCAACCGGGCTGGGTGGGACACAAGCTGGAGGGCAGGAAGTCCCCGAGCAATGCAGTGGCTGCTGCTGGAACCAGGGAAACCAGGCAACCCCCTGGCTGAGAGTTGTGTTCCCTGTGAAGGGTAGGGGTGCCTGACCCTCAGTGTAAGCAGGGGAAGGGTCAGGGGAGCTGAGCTATTCACAGATGACCTGTGACCTCCTCTCCCTGGCTCCTGTCCCCACACTCTGGTCTATGATCTGAATCTGGGTACACAGCCTGAGGGGCTCCTACCTCACTGGCTTCAGGGAAGGGGTCTGAACTCTGGGTGGTACCTGACCACTGCCACTTGACACATACCACTTGGCCCTGCCTGCTTGAGCAACTCAGCTCACCTGAGAGCAGCACAGCTACAAGTTGCCTGGAGCCCAGCAGCTGCCTCTGCTTCCTGCCCACTGAGCTCCAGGGCTGGAGTTCCTTTCCCACAGTGACTGCCAGAGCTGGCCTTGAGGCAGCAGGCCCTCCTTGACCTGTCCTTTCCTCTGCTATGAGCAGGTGCGCTTCCTGGAGCAGCAGAACAAGCTGCTGGAGACCAAGCTGCAGTTCTACCAGAACCGTGAGTGCTGCCAGAGCAACCTGGAGCCGCTGTTTGAGGGCTACGTGCAGACGCTGAGGCGGGAGGCCGAGTGTGTGGAGGCCGATGGCGGGAGGCTGGCTGCAGAGCTCAACCACGTGCAGGAGGTGCTGGAGGGCTTCAAGAAGAAGTAAGTGCACATGCTCTGGGTTCTCAGGGGCAGGCTCAGTGGAAGCTCCCTGAGCCCAAGGAGTGTCAGGTCTGTAGTTGAGATTCCTGCATAATCCCACTTCCTCCAAGTCAGCAGTCAGAAACTTAAAGATGGAGGCTGACCTTGTCTACTTACATCAGTTCAGATCACTATTGCTCTCATTCTCCACCTCCCAGAACCGAAAAATTTGTATTTTCTCATCCCTCTCAACCCAGCTCTTAAAGTCCTGACACTGGGTTGGAGTTAGTAGACTAGGGCCAAGCAGTTCACCTGGTCCCTATCTTTAGGCAATCATAGTCCATTGTGAGACAAACATGACATAATCACGCATGTAGATATCCAATTACAAAGTAGCTTAATTCTTTTGGTTCAGGACCACATGGGAATGGGGGGTCCCTACTACCAAAAGTAAAATCAGGGGTGCAAAGAGATTATTCAGGGAAAAAAGGAAAATGGAGACCTATGGGCTTGAAACTGCAGCCCTACCATTCCCAGGCCCTCTCCATAATTTTGGAGGCCATAGGAGCAGGCACAGTTCTACCAATCAGGACCAGCTCCATGGCCAAACCACAGTTGTGCAAACAGGATCTGCTTCTCCCCTCCCCACCTCAGGTATGAAGAAGAAGTTGCACTTCGGGCCACAGCAGAGAACGAGTTTGTAGCTCTGAAGAAGGTGAGTATCCAAAGCCAGCCCACCTCTAGTTCCCCTCGATCCTGCCCCTCTGGCCTGCCACACTGCAACCGAGTCCCCAGGGCGCCCTGGAGGAGCTGGCCTCACAGCACCTTGCCACCCCACACAGGACGTGGACTGCGCCTACCTACGCAAGTCAGACCTGGAAGCCAACTCAGAGGCGCTGCTGCAGGAGATCGACTTCCTGAGGCGACTGTACGAGGAGGTGAGGGGATCACAGCCACGGTGGACACGTGTGTGCTCTGATAGGCCCCCCACTCCGGCCTAAACCCCACAGGCAGGAACCAGGACTCCTGTGAGCCTAGGCTCCAAGTTGGAGGGGAGCAAGAATAGGGAGGAAAGGAATGGAGACCCCAAATGTGATCAGTTCTGTGGGGATAAGAGGACGAGACCTTCAGGACAGCTGTGCCTGGAGAAGCCATCCTGTGTCCTCCCCAAAGCTTTGGATGCAGCAAAGGTTTCCAAAGCACAAGAGAAGCTTGGCCCTCTGGCAGCCAATAATCCTGCTTGATATGGTTGAGTACATTTACAGGTCCCCACAGTCAGCCTTCCCCTGGGGAGCACCCAAGACATGTGAGCCCTGGGAAGTAACTTAAGTTCACCTACACCTGATAGTTCCAGAAGCATGGAGAAGTGGAAGTTGCTGGAGACGTATTTATACAGAAAGTTATTTCATCGGGGGGGGGAGGTTTAGCTCCAAACCTGGGAGGTGGGCTTCAGAGCAGCCAAGGGAGTATAGGTACTGGAGGGTGGGGAAGAGCCCACGTAACTTGGTTGTCCTTCCTCTCTGCCTCCTCCTGCAGGAGATCCGAGTTCTCCAGGCCCACATCTCAGACACCTCAGTCGTCGTGAAGATGGACAACAGCCGGGATCTGAACATGGACTGCGTTGTGGCTGAGATCAAGGCTCAGTATGATGACATTGCTACCCGCAGCCGGGCAGAGGCCGAGTCCTGGTACCGCACCAGGGTGAGTAGCTCAGAACATCTATTTCATAGACTTGTTAATAAAGAGATGTGATGTATCTATCAGGAAAGTCTAGGATTCTGATCTCTAAGGATGCTAAGGAAAAGGCAGACAACTTGCACATTGGAGTGGCAAGGCTGTCATGTGGTTGCACAAGCTAAGCAGAGCACAACTTCCATAGTTTTCAGTGGTGTCCTGAACATGCAGATAGTTAATCCTTTCTGTGTTTCATGAGGTTCTCTGTTCTCCTTAGTGTGAAGAGATCAAGGCTACAGTGATCCGGCATGGGGAGACCCTGCGCCGCACCAGGGAAGAGATTAATGAGCTGAATCGTATCATCCAGAGGCTGACAGCTGAGATTGAGAATGCCAAGTGCCAGGTATGGCCCACCCAGTGTCACTCAGTCCTATCTAAACCCCATATTTGTTCTCCAGCCCATTTGCTGGAACTGGAGCTCTTGCTTGTAGTCACTCAGGGCAAGGCTTGGTTTCTGGGTAGTTTCTTACTGGGTGGCTGAGACTGGACACATTCAGGTAACGAACTTGAAAATTCATGAAACATAACCCACCTCGTTCTTTCTTGGGCCCCCAGAACACCAAGCTGGAGACTGCAGTGACCGAGTCTGAGCAGCAGGGTGAGGCGACCCTCAACGATGCCAAGTGCAAGCTGGCCGGGCTGGAGGAGGCCCTGCAGAAGGCCAAGCAGGACATGGCCTGCCTGCTCAAGGAGTACCAGGAGGTGATGAACTCCAAGCTGGGCCTGGACATCGAGATCGCCACCTACAGGCGCCTGCTGGAGGGCGAGGAGCAGAGGTGTGGCCCAACCCAGGGTGCTCTGAGCCCCTCTACCCAATCCCATCCTTGACACAAATCCCACTCTTGCCTTTGGTTGAACAGTGTCTACAAAGTAGACAAGTCTACTTTTATCACTTTGTGTGGGGAGTTTTAGTAGTGGGCAGTATGCTTCTTCAGAACTTTGGTTCCTAATTCCTTAATTATTGCGCTCCCAATGACTTTGGGGAAATCTATTTGCAACTCAGGACTGCAAACTAATTTCTTTTCTTTTTTCCACTTTCAGGCTATGTGAAGGTGTTGGTGCCGTGAATGTCTGTGAGTATTGGGAACTCAGTATGGACAGACTTACTTCTGTAATGGAGGTAGCATCTGGAAAGCACATTCTTAGTGAGAGTCCAACATAAAAGGATGGGTTGGTATTACAGCAGGAGGAATCTGTAGCTAGACCAAAAAAAAAAAAAAAAAAAAAAAAAAGGAAAGAAATCACAGCTTTGGAGCTGATGAATGAGAAATCTTCAGCTGTAGATGCCCTGACTTTAATCTCACTACTCAGGGATTGGGCTGGGGTGGTCCTTAAGGAAGTAGATGATTTGCTCCCCTACCTCCAATTTTGACTCCCCTTCCTGGCCCACAGGTGTCAGCAGCTCCCGAGGCGGGGTCGTCTGTGGTGACCTGTGCGTATCCGGCTCCCGGCCAGTGGCAGGCAGTGTCTGCAGTGCCCCTTGCACTGGAAACGTGGCGGTGAGCACCGGCCTGTGTGCACCCTGCAACTCCGGTGCATCTTGCAGAGTGGGCTCCTGTGGCATCAGTTCCTTAGGTGTAGGCTCCTGCACCAGCAGCTGCAGGAAGTGTTAGGCCCCCAGCTCCAGCCCAGGCCTAGGTCTCCACATGTCTAGCTCAACCAGCCCAACCCAGGGGCCTGCATCAAGGGCGTAGGATTTCCATGTGATCCTTGCTCCTGGGCTTTTGCTGCACTGAGATGGACTACTCCAGAAGTCACCTTGGAGCCCACAGGAAGACGACTTGGGCCTCCAGGACCAGGGCCAGGGCCCTCTCCTGAGCTAACATGGGCTCAGTAGTTAGAGCCCCAAGCCTTTCCCCCTTCCTCCTCTGCTTTCTTCATTCCTGCTTTGCTTCATGATTCCAATAAATCAATGTAGCTAGCCCTGGGCCTTGTCTGTGTCTCTGTTAACCTCCTCAGGGGCCAGAATATGAGAGTGTTCCTCAAAATCACAGGGAACAAAAAGAAGTTCAAGTCTGGGACCTCCAGGATGGTTCTCTGTCCCTTGGTATACAGCATTCATATTGAGCCAAGGTTTATGGAGGGGCCCCTACATGATGCAACTTTATCCACATGACCTTAATAATTTTATCCATGCAACCTTAACAATACATGTTGCAGATGAAAGAACCAGAGGTGTATGTAGTCATTGGCTCTCTCACTGTGGTTTGAATCCTGTATGTGTCTCATTTCACCAGACCATAGCTGCCTCCCAGAAAATAGCCTGGGCACATCTGTAAACTGATGGATAATGAGTATTAAACTCACCCATCACTCAAAGCTTAAGGAAACATTACTCATTGGTTGCTTTGGTGGAGAAGACTCACATCTGAGTAATTTATTGGGATTCTTTAAGGAGTGATTATATGAATATTATCTAAAGTTTCAAAAAGCCTTTGTCATGGCTTTTTTCCCAATAGCGTCCCTTTAAGGCTTGGAAACCTGCCACTGCTGATGCATTGCCTCAAAGACAGAAAACAGCACTCAGCCAAAAAGCACAAAGCTTCAAGCACAGTCTGGAGCCAGGCTGCCTGAGTCCAAAGCTGGGCTCTATTTCTTCCCAGCTGAGTGAATCTGAGCAACATCCTTACCCTTTCTGAGCAACATCCTTACCCTTTCTGAGCCTGTTTCCACATCTCTAAAACAAGGACGATAAAGGGAACCCACCTCAAGGCCAATGGGAGGATTAATTTCACATATGTAAAATAGTATTAGCACAAAAAAAATCACCATCTGCATTTATCATTAGCATTTTTCTTCTGCAATGTAAAGTAGACATGTCTTTGGGAACCAGGGCCAGCCTTTTAGTATATCTTTATCCATGATCAGAAATGCAAGTACAGAGGGAATCACCATTTCTACAGGATCATTGTATTCGTTCTTACAGGGAAGTACTCACATAGCACTGACCAGGCCATTACAGCAGGAGGAATCTCTAATCTTTCAATCCCAGGCCTACAAAATGTAACATAAGTGGAAGCCCCCAAAAGAGCACCAGAAATAATTAAGAGTGTTGAGAGTGGTCTGAAGTGAATCCTATAGGGGGTAGAATCAAGCCAAGTTTCTCAGTTATGTCTGATAGAATTATGAGCCAGACAGCATGCTGGCAAGTTCTGGAATGTGCAGTTGTTCCAGCCAGCCCTCTATGCTGCAACACCACATAGCTGACAAGCAGGGTCTATGTCCAGAGTCCAATCCTGAAGCCCAAACACCAGATCCAACCTTCATCCTTCATCCTTTCCCAGTGCAGAAGCAGCTGAAACTCCAGTCCTGGTGGACTTCCCGCCTAGGCCAGCGGAGTCCTTCATGCCTGTTTTTCTGGTCTCATCATCCCTGCTGGGTCTTCATGGCCTCCAGGACTTGCTGCACCCTCCCACCTTCCCCAAGCTCTGCCTTTCTCCTCCTTCCCACTCCAGCTACACAGCATTTAACTCCCTCATAATTCCACTCCTGGACAAACTGGACAGAGGAGCAAAGGTGAACCCATCAAACACAGCGCCCACATCAAGATGGGTGATGAAAATGGAACTCCTTACTGTATAGCCCTTAGCAGGTCACCTCCCCAGTATACTTAGTAATGGAATGAAATATTTGGACTACATGGCTGCTAAGGTACTTTACCAACTTAAAGATCTATTCTTTGTAAGAGAGGTGGGACAAAATCAGGAGCTGGAAAGGAACGGGGAGCACAGGGTCCTGCTTGCAACTGTGCTATGCAGATACATGTTGTCTTGTATATTTGCCCATTTTTCGTAACTCATGTCTGCAGGTGCCTGTGTGTGGGCACAGAAGAGGATGATTGCTTCCCAGGACATGCACATCCCAGGCAGCTGTGTGGAAGCATATGTGCATGTGTGACTTGAGGTTTCTTTCCATACACAGGATTATACATGGGGGTGTGTGTATGTGTGTTAAGGAAAGGGATTAGTGGGCACGTGTAGGTGTGAGTATAGTGTGAATATGTAAATGGGCCCAGGTGTGCTAGTGTGGCAAGAGTTATAGGAGAAAACCAGGGCTAAGTGGGAGTAAGAATGGGTCAGTGCTACTGGATGTCATTCTGGGAGGTGCTTTCTGTCCTTGTTGCTCTAACCCTTGAGCTCACCTACCTACTGTCACTGTACCACCAGAATGGACAGAGGGAGGTCAGCTGCTCTTAAACTTTGTACAGCATTTTTAAGAGCTGTTCTAAATGTTTCCAAAGGGCTGTGATATAGTTCAGTGAAGAGAACTTGCTTAGCAAGTCTCTGTCTTTGATCCCCAGCGAGCCCCCAAAAAACAAACTTCCAAAGAACTTCAGTAAGTGAAATGTATTATATTGACAACTATGTTTTAAGCACTTTTCATGCAGCAATATCTTTTGTTCTCAAGCAATCTTATAATTGCTACTATTCTATTTTACAGATAAACTTTAGTTCACAGTTTAGATATAGGGAAAATGACTCTACCATTTAGATCTGGGATATGATCTGGAGTGGGACGGAACCCTGAAACACATGAAGAGTTTGGTCAAGGTTCTCACATAGACACCACAAAAGACTTTCAAGGGGCTATTTAGGGTGAGACATGCTAATGGTAAAGAAGTAAGGCTCAGGATACCCCAAAACACACAGATCTCCCTGGACAATAAAACCTCAACCTCTCGTATCTACTTATACAGGAGGCTCAAGAGCTTGATGAGAAAGTCACTGCTGTCAGGGTCACAAATACAATTGTAAACAGATAAGTTAGCATCTTACATGTTGAGTGCTTTAAAGTATGAGGCAGGCATGCGGAGTCAACACAAGGCTGGGCCCCTGTAGTTCCCTGATGCTAAGAAACAATGACTAAACTGGTGACAGTTCTCTTCTCTTCAAAAGTCACCTCTACTCACTGAGTAAGCCAAAAGGCTGGTGAATGATTCTTCATAAAAACATCCAGCATTCTCTTCCACCTCAGACTGGAATGTGGCCCATGGCCAGGGTATGCTTTTAGAGAATAGATCCCCAAACACAAACATTGCTGCTGATCCAAGTGACCCTGACCCAGGAAGAGGCTTTAACATGACCCTAAAGCCCTAGGGACTTCCTGGTAAGTTTGAGTTTAAGGTTTGGGGGGCTGGGGATTTAGCTCAGTGGCATAAGTGCCTGCCTTGCAAGCAGGCAGTCGTGAGTTCAATCTCCAGTACTGATAAAAAGGAAAAAGACAAAAAAAAAAGGAGTTTAAGGTTTGGAAAGGAAAAAGTTAGGGAGTTGATCCTCTGTGGCGCATGGGGTGCAGAACGCACCCCATAAAGGCTGCCTACAAGTCGTCAGTGCTGTTTCTATCTGTACTTCCCACAAATTCCCTTAGCTGAATTGCTCATTGCAGCAGGACCTGGAAAAATGGGCCTTGAAAGCCATAAAATTTTACTATTTCCTAGCAAAATGCAAGGGACACACAGCTGGGCTCCAGCATCTGGCAGAGGTCAGATCTGCTTTCAGGCAGCTGTTTGGCCTGGGAATGTCAGCAAGAATACCAGCATCATTGGTGTGGGTCAGCGTTGACCACATGAGGATGATATGATCCCAGCAGGGCCATGGGCCCTCCCCCTCACCTGTGTGGTCACTTACCAGCCAAGTTTCGGCCCCATTCCTTTTGCATGAGACAGTTTTGTTTATCCAGGAAAGGGGCCTTTTGGATACTTGTTCTCCAGGTAAGAATGCAGGAAAACACGGTACACACTCCAGCACTTAATACCTTAAAAGGTAAAGCCAAGGCCTCTGGCTAATGACGCACCTTAGCCCTACCCAGGAACCTGGAAGCCAGGAACAATTGCTCCCAACATGCAGCGATGTTGTAATCCTCTGTGCAGCAAAAATGTATGAGCTCACTGAGCAGAAGCTGCACTGCAGCCTATGTGGTCAGGAAAGCGTAAGGAAAGAGCCTAGAAACAGTCTTGCTCTGGTTACCCCACCCTCGGATATCCTATCTAATGCCCCAAAGTCCAGTGGCCTTGTAGAAACTCAGGCCAAATTCCCCTTAGATTTGGAAGCAGAGACACCCATGCTTCCCTTGTAATGACACGTGCCCTCCCTGCCCACCATCAGATCACCTGCTAGCCTAGAACACACGCTGGGTGCCCAATTGTGCTCATTGTCCCATTGCCAACTGGCAATGGCAATTTCTTCAGCACCTGTCCTCAAGTGCCCTGTCAGGGAAGCAGAAGGCACTGATCTGCTCTCTCCTCTTCCTTGTCTGTCCCTTGTTCACAGCCCACCTCCCCATCCAGGGAGTCATCGCCAGGCAGTAAAATCTAGGGGGCCTCCTCACAGTTGTGTCCTCAGCACTAGCACTACACAGGACACTGCGAGGCCATTCAAAAAGTATCTGTACAGTGATGAAAAAAATGAATGAATGAATGAAGCCTGAGGCTTTTCTGCCAGAAAACCTGGCTGTAAACCCATGCTAGATCCCTTGTCTAAATTTTCCCAGGGTCCTCTGACTTGCCCTCCCAGATCTAAAAATCCTACTTGTACAGGTATCAAGCCGCCAAAAGCTTAAGTCACACAGGACCCCACCACCAGGGGAAGGTTGCTTTCTGGTATTGCTCCTGCCAGTGGGGCCACCTCAAGGGGTCCCTGCTGTGGGAATGGTCTCTGGAATTCAGAGTCAAACACACTGGCCACTGGGTCACAGCAGAACTTTTTATTGCAAAGAAGGAGTGCCTGGAAAGAAGGGGTGGGTTGATTCAGAGGGCAGGGTCTTGGGTCCCAGGAAGCCACAGACCCTGCCCATCCAGTGGCACCAGTGCCCAGGCTGTCTGCTCTGGGTCAGGTCTCACCATTGTGTAAGCTATGGTTCAAGACTTTACACCCTGGGATGTGGGTAAGAGGGAGAGGGCTAGCTCCACGGGAGAGGTATCTGAGACAAGAGGTCAAGGCTTTGTGGTAGAAACTGGGGCTCCAGAAAGCAGTCAGCATCCCTGGAAGCCGCTCAATCCTTCAGCGCGGCCCAGAGAGCTGCAGAGCACGCAGCCGCCGCCAGGAGCGCTCGTGTCCAGGATAGCCGAGCTGGCGCGAGCAGGCATGTGGGGCCAGAGGCCGAGCTGGGAGCTGGGCCTACTGGCCCGGAGCGCTGCGCTGCCCGATGCTGGGCAGAGAGCAGTGTGGGAAAGAGGGAGCCTTCCCATCCCCACCCGGGGCAAAAGACCCGCCTATAGGCCTCTCCAGGGGACAGATAAACAGACTTTCCCTCCCCCAAAACAGGTATGCAAACTGCCCCAAAGGAGCAAAAGCACTTCCCCCTATACACTCAAAGAATCTCCCTCAAGAGCAGAAACATCCCCACAAAAACAAGCTGCACAGACGGACCCATCATAAACACCTTTGCACTCCTAGAAGGGTAAAGGGAGATAATGCATGCACATTGGAAGGGGCTGGTGTATAAGAACCAACCTCCCTACCCCAGGTACAAATGTGTACTTACCCACACTCCCGGCCCCAAATTCCATACTGAGCCTGAGAGGAGGAAAAACAAGCAGGTAAATGACTCTGTCTACTAGGTTTGATAAGTCTCTGTTCTGCAAAACAGATGGCCCTGACCCTGCTGGTCAGGCAGAAATCCTGCCATCCTGCAAGCTCTGTGAGTCCCTCATCCCCAAGTCCTTGCAAAACTTTCATTTCAGTCCCTTCTGCCTCTTTTCAGACAGCTCACTTTGGCTGATGACCTCTTAGAGGAAGAAAAAGGCAAAAAGATCTGCCTTTTGTAACGTAACCCTACCTTGGAAGGTGAGTTCAGGCCATCCAATTTTAGAGGAGACAGCTTGATTATCTGAGGAATGTTGTTCAAGCCCCCCTCCATCAACCTCCCACCATGTTTCTTTGAAGTTGTTATTACCCTGCTCTGAGATTCAGTGTCCTGGTCTATAGTGTGGAACAAACAGTTTCCCCCTCGCAGGCTTTTGTGAGATAATCAGGAGATAAACGATAGAGTGTGCCTGCTGCATGGTGGGTGTTCAGTCCCTCGCCTCTGCTCTGCCTGGGACACCGAGCTCACACTGGTCACCCTTGATGCCCTACTGCTGTCTAGGGTGAAAGCCAGGCCCTACCTGTTCATTTAACACTGCATCACCATACCCGGGGATGAAAGACAGAAGTGAAAAGTGACATTGTTCCCACCAGCTAGGCTTTGGTCCCTATACCTATCTTGATCAACAGGCTGCCCCTGTTTTCTGATTCTGTGAGTGAGTGACTTCATGGCTCACCCCCAGCCAGGTGCCAAAGCTGCTCATTAGCTAAGCATTTTTGTTTAAAGAGCTATAAGATAGTATGGAAAACAGGAGATCAAATCCTGGATACCCAGGTGAGCTCTCCCTACTTCTTCCAGGCTGCAGAGGGCAGTGGCTGCTCTTCACCATCCCCTCCGTCCCCTCCTCACCCATAACCATCAGAAGCACGTCTCACCCCTCACCTGCTTTCCTCCAGTAGCTTGCGGTAGGTGGCGATCTCAAAGTCCAGGCCCAGCTTGACAATCATGAGTTCCTGGTACTCACGCAGCTGTTTTGCAATGTCCTGCTTGGCCCGTTGCAGAGCAGCCTCCAGATAGGCCAGCTTGTCCTTAGCACTGCATGAGGCCTCTTCTGCCTGCAGAGCTGTGAGGTCCCAGGCTCTTTCTGGTTCACAAGACTGGGGTGATGGAAAGACCAAGGACAGAAGGGTCTCCTTGGGTCCTACTCCTCCACCCCAAGGATCCAGGCCTTTCTCAAAGGCCAGAGGAAGAGTGAAGGTATGGAGATTATCTGTGGTTGCAAGGAGTGAGTAGGCCTGTTTCAAAATGTGTTGGTGTATCTAGACCATAGGATTCAAAGTATCCACCCATCCCTCTGCACTCACAGTGGAGATCTGGATCCTGCCTCTGTGATGGCTAAGAAAGAGCCCTTTGCAATTTAACATGATGACACTCCTCATGGGAGCTAGGATCAGAGCAGCATCAAATGTTCCTTGGCAAGTAGTCCTGGGATTAGTGTTTCATAAGGAAATCTAACAGGAAAAATATCTTTTCTCATAGGAGTCTCTGGGAACAATAGTAATAAGAGCAAACAGTTGCTTTGGTGAGATGGGCCTGCTGCTTGGTCCATCAGAGTAACTGCCACTGGCCAGACATGGAACCATAACCGGCCCATCCACCCTCTCTGCCACCAATGTACTTGAACAACCCATCCCCTCCCCCTCAAAGTCATCACATCCCACACGAACCATGAATATCCCTCAAGCCTATAAGACACATGCATCTAAAGGCAGTAAGCCCAGACTGGGAGTAGAAGTCTTTCCCTCTGTGGGAGAGGAGAAGGGATGAGCCAGGGGAGCTTAACATGCAAGAGAAAAGGGCTTGGGAGGGAGAGAGCTCGGGGGAAAGAAAACATCCCTATGAATCTTCTCTTTTCTAAGTTCTAAGGCCTGAGTCACAGATGCAAATGCCTGCAGAATCCCTCCTGGCTGGAAGCATGAAAAAGGCCGAATGTTAGACATATCAGTAGTATCTTGTTCCACAGAAAACTATGCTATCTCCCATTTCCCTGTAATCACAAGGATCTCTACTCTTTTATTCACTGGAGACACAGGCTCAGTCCCTTTGCTCTTCCACACAGATAACAAAGTAAAGTCAATGAGACGATAGAGGTCAAAGGACCCTCTGTCTAGGAGCCAAAGAATGCAATTGGGAGTAAGGAGGACTGCAGCACATCAAGGAGCTGGTATATGAGATGATACAGGAGACAGAGGTTTTTCTTCTTCTCCAGCCAGATGCGAGTCATAGTTTAATATCATCAGATTTTCATATTTTCAAAGAGAACTCAGAAAATTGGAATTCTAGGTGATCTCTTAACAATTTTTGAAGATGGACTCAATTAGTGCTGAGTAAGATGCAAAGAAAACATTTAAAATGTACATATAAAAAGGCAATAACCAAGCAAGCATATATGATCATACGCATTTGCTGCATATTCATCACCCACATAAAATACATATGGCATCCTAGGCAAAGGCAGGCATGATGTACAAATGCAGCCATAATCCTCCTGCACTCAGGCAGTAACAAAAAGAAGCTCCAGAGAGTTTCTATCCAAAGGATTGGGAAGAAGGTCTAGAATATTTGTTATAAATAATGGGGGCCCTCCCACATGGCCATCTGGCACCCCGACTCCCTCACCTCACCTGATCCTTGGTGCCATCCACATCCACCGTCAGCCGCTGGATGGCCTGGTTGAGCCTGTTCAGGTCCTCCTTGCTGTACATGGGGCTCTGTGTGTGTCTCTGCACAGTCGTCTTTATCTCCTCACACTGGGGCAGGGACAGCAGAGCACAGCAGTGGTCAGTGAGGGAAGACAGCGGGCACAGTTCCTGTGCACCAACACCACCACTGGCTTCCACAAGTGGCCATCCTGTGAAATGGGGACCATCCTCCTGTCCGGAGGGCTGCTGGGAGAATGCCATGCATTCTATTGCCAAGCCTCGAGGTGCCACAGGCAGCCTACGCTTGGGAACATGGAGCAGCAAGGCAGGGCAGCAAGCAGCCAGGTGAGCTTTAGGAGTGCTTCCCCCTAGGAGCACAGGAATTAAGCCCTGAGAAATTAGTTATTTCACTTTACCACATATTAGCAAAACTAATACAAAAAGCATTTGATAATATTCAACCATAGTGACTAATTTTAAAAACTTTACAAATCCAAAGAAATGAAGAAAATCACTTAACTTGCTGAATGTCATGAGTCAGAGCCCAGTAACAGAAAGCCAGATAGCAAATCCTTTCCCAAGCCCAAGACCACCAAAGGTGGGTGCTGTCCGCCAGGGATGGAATCAGACGATCTCTTGCCTTCACTTAAAATACAAAAACAGCCTGGGCATGGTGACACCTGCACAAGGCCTGACACTTTTCCAGATCTTTCACTGACACCCTCTCACTAGGGCCATGCAAACCATCTGTGATGTAAACCAGGTGCATGTGACCAGCTCTGTGCTCTTCACAGGCAGGGTGCTCATTCCATCCACTACAGACAAAGGAGAAGGGACCAGAGGGGAATGAGGCACCCTGCTGGTCAGCACTCAGCCAGTAGCATTTGAAGCCCATGTTCACAGCCTGAGGGACAGATAGAGTTACACCCACCCCTTGACCCAGATAGTGGGAACTGTGCCCAGCAGCCCAGAGCAAATCTCTCTGTAGGATAGGTAGAGTAGGAAGAGACTGTAGAACACCACTCCCTCAGTGTCTGCTGCATCCCCACTGCCAGGCCTCCCCTGCTCCACAGCAGCAGACTTGAGCTGGCAGCTCCAGCCGCTCACTCCTGGGCAACAGGCCTCACCATGGTGGCAGCAGCTGCAGTCTCCTCCAAGCCTCTCTCGAGCACTAAAGCCCAGCTCCAGCCCAAGAAGCTCCCAGAAACCTTGCTTGGAGGCTTTCCCTTCCCGAGGCTTTGTGACCTCACCTTGTTACAATCATAGAGTTCTGAATCAGAAGTCTCAGGGGCAGGGGGTGGAAGGAAGCCAAATGTGAACCCAAGTGGGAGAAAGTAAACTGGAGATGCCAGCTCCAAGTCAGTAGGAAACGGGGGTGAGGCTTTGACTCTGAACTGGAGGTGGGGGAGCAAGGACTAGAGGGTACATGCAAAAGAGCATCTGTGACATACATTTAGTGATTTAAATACAAAAATAGGAGAATAAATCCTTGTGGACCCCTCGGTAACAATACCATTCATCCCTCGCCCTGCCAAATCCACAAAGTAACCACTATCCCATTCTCTTGCCTTTCTTTATTATCATGTGTATATCCCCAATCTATTATATATTGTCTACCTTTAAGCTTTACATAAATAGACTTCCAGGAGAACATGGCAGACAGATAACAGCAACTACGGAGGCTCTCTGAAAGACTCGGCTCAGAAGTCAGGAAGGGTGCAGAGTAAGGAGACATAAGCTGGTGGAGATATGCTCTGCTGACTCAGGAATGAACTGGGCTGAGAGAAACCAACTTGGAATGCAGTCCTGGTGCTAGAACAGGAACAGAAAAGCCTCAGTGTGAAGGCAGGAGCCCGCGCCATTGGAAGCCGCGATTTGGGTTTCCCGCCACGCGGCGGCTGCCTCTACATTGGCTCGGCAAGGAGAGAGACGCGAGGAAGCTCTGAGAATGGGAATCTGCGAACGGAGTCGAAAACAGGACGGGCAGGGAGGCGTGCACTGACTCGTGGTGAGGTGAGTGAGAGAAACAGACACTCTACCACAGTTTGACTCCAGCGGAGGACATTCTGGGCCCGGGCAGTCCTGCGGGAGCAGGGCGCGGTGGTGACTTCAGCCACACACCCCCCTCTCAGGTGGGATTGGTGAAAAGTGCATAGCCTACGTGACACTGCTGGCGGACCCAGTAGGCTGGCCCAACCCAGATCCCAGAGCCTGACGGTGGCCTGGAGGGGCAGGCCTCGCGTAGGCTGCCTGGTCTGGAACTTCCTGGTGTGCTGCGGTGGGTGGGAACACCTAACCGGCGCAATTCGATCAGGCTGTGGCTGACAGGGAGGAAAGCTGGGCCTCCTATATAAGCTTGCATATATAAGGAGCAGAGAATATGGGAAGAGGCAGCAACAGGAGAGGCTCCTCAGCCCCCAATTCTGAGAAACAGGTAATAGCAGACACCGCACCAATGGACATAAAGCGCCATCTAGAGAGCCTCATAGACCAGTTCAGGAATGAAGTTATCAATGACCTGAAGCTAGAAGTATGCAGAATGGTTAGAGAGGTGCTGGGCACTGCCCAAAAGAAAACAGATGGTGGAATGGAAGAACAGAAAAAGAGGGGAGAATTGCTTGATGGAGAAAACAGAGAAAGCATAGAATACGTGAAGCAGGTTCAAAGGGACTACCAAGAAACTAAAAAGTCTATCGAAGACTGGCATGGCAGCTTGAAAGAAACGAAGGATGGACTGTCTGAACTGGAGGGCAGATTTGTAATGTGGGAGAATGAAATGAAAAACTTCTTAAAAATAACAAAGAAACAAACAGCAATAATGCAAAGACAAGAAGATGATAAGAGGATCCATAACTTAAGAATTAAGAACATAAAAGAAGAGGTAGGGACACAAACAGATGAACTACAAAGGCTGCTCACAGAAATAATCCAGGAGAATTTTCCTAGTTTAGCAAAAGGTGGAGATGCTCAGGTGTATGAGGCATGCAGGACCCCAGCTACCTACAGCCCAAATAGAGCAACACCCAGGCATATAATAATAAAAATTCCAGAAATTCAATACAAGAACAGAATATTGAAAGCTGTCAGAGGTGGGAAACGGACCACTTACAAGGGAACACCCATCAGAATTGCAGCAGATTTCTCTGCACAAGCCATCAGGTCACGAAGAGCGTGGGGGGAAATAATTCAAGCTTTGAAGGATGATAATCTCCAGCCAAGATTGAGATATCCTGCACAACTGTCCCTGGAAGTTGATGGAAAAACAGGGTGCTTCCAGGATGGAGAGGAACTGGGGGAATTTGTGACCACCAATTCAACTCTACAGAGAGTATCGCAGGATATTCTAAAAAAAGAAAAGTACAAAGAATCCAGAGATAGTGGCGGGGAGGCCACAATGAATGGAGCAGAGAACAAAATGAAGAAAACAAACTGACAGCTACTGATGGGGAAGGAGCTCAACAGAGATGAGGCAGGGAGGATTGGATGAAGGGAACAGCTATTTTGGAGAAAATGACATCTTAATAGGTAATACTGATTTAGTGTCATCTTGTTTTGAAGTCTCATCAAGCTTTTGTTCTTCTGTCTCCATTGGTCTGGATAGGTTGTATCTTATTGGATTTTATTATGTACGATAGTATAAGCAAAAACCTTTTAAAGACAAGGAGATTATACAGAAACCATTGTTCATTTTCTGTTAGTCGATTCTAAATACCCTGTAATGCTGTCATTCTCTTAAATGGTTTTACATTGTTTTGATATATTTAATGCTACAGTATATGAAGTTGTACTCAAGGATTTCAAGGAAAGAGACAACATGGTAACTACTTTTATGTCAGGATTATCTGGTGGTGAAACACTATTCCGCTTAAATGGTTATGTTTTGATCTGCGCTGTTTTGCTGTTATGCCCTCTTTTATCTCAATCTCCACTCCATTATTTACTTTTTTATTTTTATCCTTTTATTTAAGGGGAAAATAAATAAAAATAGCAGGATATATTATAGTAACCCACTTTGACTTTCCATTATCTCGATTTAAAGCCCTGTATTACTCTCACCATCTTGTTTTTGACTGATGTTCCCCTATTCTGTTTTGCTGGATAGTATCAGGTTCAAAAGTTTAGGCAACAGCTGTGAAGATAATGAGATTCATTATGATGCCCATTCTCGTCTTTTATCTACTTTTATCTACTTTTGAAGACCTACAATGTCTCCAATGTTTTGGTTTTGTCGGTTTTGTTCTTTACTGTTTTGTTCAATTTTATTATAACTAATGATATAGGAAATTCTATTAGAGATAGCAGGAGGCATTATGGTAACCATTGTTGATCACCTTGTATTATGTTTTTACATTATCTATTATGTCCACCCTTTTGATTTGACCGACTCTGTTCTGTTATGTCACATTTGGTTTTGCTCTCTTCCAAAAAAGTAATAAGAACTGTGGGAGCAATAAAACCCAAAACGTATAATAGTCATTGTACAAAAGAGAGGAAAAGAAAGTGCTCTAAACTATATAACTGCATGTATATTTAAGTGTATAAGATAGAAAATGATATCACTGAGTTTTATTGGATCATTGAACAGAACTGTTTGCAGTATCATTGTTGGAATGTCACTTTACAAGCTTTAATTTTGTGACTTGAACAATTATTTCTAAGATGACAATATGTAATCCATTAACTAGGATTTCCTACTGTTTATTTTTTTTCTATAAATCTGTATAACTTGTACCCTTTCTCTGCTTTTTTTTCTCCTTAAATAAAATTTTTTTAAAAAGCTTTACATAAATAGAATGTGTAAATAGAACCACATTGTATGCTTCTGTGACTCATTTCCCTCACCCAGCATTCTCAATTGAGAGACTCATCTTTTTATGTATGTAGCTTTATTTTTCAGTGGTGTATAGTAGGACTACTAGTCGTTTGTCTATGACTAAAACATAGATGGTTTTAAACACTATCAACAAACAATGTTGCTAGTGTTTTTGTGTATTCTGCAGGCACACTTCAGCCAGAGGGTTTTTTGGTACTTTGGCTGTCAGAATATTTTTTAACATAATTCAAAATAAGATACATATTTTATATCGTGAACACCATCTTCTTACAAACACACAAGCTGAAATAGGTTTCATGAAAAATTAGCTAATCTGATCTTCTAACCAATCACCCTAACACATTCTTACCGTTTCAATTTGTGTCCATATGTTTTAGTTTCCCTTCCTAAAGATAACATCTTACTTTTATTACTTTTGTTATTTAATAATATGAAGACAGTGGAACTCTCATGAGCTAACCCTAAAATGTTACTATCAGTAGTCATCTACTTATACACTCCTTATCATCTCCTGGCCCTTCCATTTTCCTAAAGTTATACCATTATCCTTTTGCTGGTTTGTAGTTTTATCACATACATGCATATACTTTCAATAATTTTTTTAGTTTTTTCTGCTGTTATTTTTATTTAAAAAGTTATCTCCCAGTTATTTGCTTTGTTTGTTCAACATTAATGTAACAGGGATTTTGCCACCATAATTTAAGTGTTCTATTGCATATCTATAGCACATTTTGTGTAATTTGAGGGGATTTTTTTTTTTTTTTGCTTTTTCATCTTACCGAAGTGGTGCTATGAACATTTTTCTGCTTGTCATCTGATATAGATATCCAAAAATTTCCCTTTGATATACAACTAAGAGTGGGTCATGAGAAGGACTGATATTCAAGATCATACAAAATTATTTTCCAAAGTTGTTATGGTTTGTGTCTAAATGTCTTCCCAAAGCCTCATGTGGTCATAGGGTTTTTCCAGAGGTGGCTGAATCTCTTGCTTCTTTCCCTTTTTATTCTCTCCAGGCTGCAAGCCTATTGGTCGGTGCTACCCATCTCCAGAGTAAGATCTTCTTCCTTTATATACTGGCTTACATGTGACTAATCTACAGATGCACCCAGAATTGTGCTTCACTAATCTGCCAGGCATTGCTCAATCCAGTCAAGTTAACAGATCATTAATACATATATAGAGATCATGAATATATTCATTTTGTTCCATTGGTTAGTTTGTTCATTTTGTTCCATTGGATAATTCGTTCATTCTTGTGTGAGTACGGCAGTGTCCTAATGACTATAAGTTTGTGAGTTATGATCTCTGATGAGGAGAGTAGTCTGTTAAGTCTTTTTATCAGTTGTTTGGCTATTCTTAACTTTGTCTATCTCCATAAATTTTA